ATATGAATAATACGAATAATACGAATAATACCAATAATGTGAATAATATGAACCTAGTTCAACAAAGGGATAGAGATTATGAAGCTTTGGAAGATCAATTATTACAATTACAACGCTCTTATACTGAATTATCTCAAAAATATGCAAAAACTGCCGCTGAATTGGCTTTACATCAAGATAATTATGATGAAATTGAAGTATTAAAGAATGATTATCCCGGAATAAAATTAAGGGTGGTTTCTGAACAAGAGATAGAACAATATGAAAAAACAATATCTTCACTCGAAAGTAAACTTGCTATTACTAGTGCTGCTTTATCTCATTCGGATTCTATGTTAAAAGAACAAGAAAGTCGAATAGAAAGTGCTGATTCTACAAGTCAACAAAACAAAGATTTAGTTTCTAATCTTCAAAAATATATTAAAGAACTTGAATCAAAACTTCAAAAACGTGAAATTGATGCTCGTATTGCCGCTTCTCGTGATAATCTCCCGGAAAAATTCATTAGTGAAACTATACAACTTTTGGAATCAAGACTTAAAGAAAAAGAAGATGCTTATTCTGAACTCGAAGAAAAATTTAATAATATTCAAGTCGCTGATCCTAATAATAATGATTCTTCTCCTGAAAGTGATAAAATTACTCGTCTTGAAGCTAAATTAGAATTTCTTAGCAATGAAGTAAATAAACTTAGGGGTTTAGGTATCAAGTTGGGTCCGGATGATCGTCCGGAAAGTTAGGCTGGATTTGGATCAATTTTCTCAAACTCGTATAGATATATTATATATATATATATATTAAATTATTATGTACGTATGTATGTGTCTATAGATTCCCTTTTTTTTAAAAAAAAATTCATTTGAAAAGAAAATTTCACAATGATTATTAATTAAGAGGTTGGAATTGTTTAATATAATTTAAGTAATCTCTTTTAACATTAAACGTTAATTTCGGTTATAAAAATTCTGATAAAAATCCGGTTTGTTTTTAAAAATTCGGTTTACAGTATTTCTTATCTAATTTCGTAAAGTGCGTCAATTGATTAATGCTTAAACTAGTACTTTAAAATTAGTGCTTTAAACTAGTGCTTTAAAGTAGTGTCTATTAAAAATATCGCGTACTATAATCCAGTTGAATTAGCTCTGTATGATTTAACTTTAATAATCGGTTCTCAGTTACGCGTAAATCAAATTCAGGTTTTTTTGAATTGGTAACCAGTTCCGATCTCTATTACTAATTATTGTAAAAATTTCTTTTTTTTGAATTTATGTTAATACTGTATTAATCATTGCTAAAGTGTTAATAGTAATCTAAAAAAAAGGCAAATGAAATGTGATTACGTATTTTGTGTTCGTGTCTTTATTTTTTATTTATTTATTTGCGTCTTTTACAGAACAAAAATAAAATAACAAATTTGATGAAATTTATTGTATATATACATGGGTGCCTAAATTATTTTTGAAAAATCGTATTTTCGGCAAACATTTCGGCATTGCTAAATTTTTTA